TTTAGCATTCCAGAGGCAGAAATCCCTCTGGATCTCTGTGAGTTCAAGGCCACATCAGAAATGGCCAGGCATGGTGACACACACCTTTAATCCCAGAAAGAGAGCCTTTAATCCCAGGGAGTGGTGGTAGAAAGCAGAAAGGTATATAAGGCGTGAGGACCAGAAACTAGAAGCATTTGGCAGGTTAAGCATTTGGCTGGTTAAGCATTTGGCTGGTTAAGCTTTCAGGCTTCTAGCAGCACAGTTCAGCTGAGAGCCATTCGGATATGAGGACACAGAGGCTTCCAGTCTGAGGAAACAAGACCAGCTGAGAAGTTGGCCAGATGAGGTTAGCTGTGGCTTATTCTGTCTCTCTGACCATCCAGCATTTCACCCCAAAAACTAGCCCCGGGTTTGATTTTATTTATAAGAACTTTTAAGATTCATGCTACATGGTATAGCCAGAACATGTGATTAAAACTATGTCTAGCCTTCCCAGAAGACTCTGATTTCCAAAGTGGCTCTACCATTTTGGACTCAAACCAACAATGAATAAGTCTTCAGCTTTCCATGTATCTATACCATCATTTTGTGTTACTTCCAAAGGTCTTTGTTCTTAGTTACTCCTCTCCACATTACCTCCTTTACCATGCCCTCCAATCCCCCATCCATTTGACCCTCCCTAACACAATCATCTGATGTTATACTGTCAGCCATTATTCTGGGGTTCAGCCATTATTCTGGGGTAAGATGAAACCTGAAAGCAGTTTTAATTTGTGTTCCCCTAATGACTAAGGGTATTAACCAATTTAAAATGTTTCCTGGCCATTTTCATCTCATTTAAAGAATGCTGCTTAGTGCTCTGCCCCAGTTTTTAAAGGGGTTGTTTGGTTTTTTTTAATTGTTTTATAGCTGTTTGTTACTATTGTTCTTTGTGTATTATAGACCATAATTCACTGTCAGATGTATTCCTGGAATCATGGATTTCTGCATATGTATTTCTAGTATTATGTAATATTAAAGAAATCTGTTTTAAAAATGAGAAGATTCCAACTCTTCTTAAAAATATTCTTTAAATTATGTCTTTATTTCTTCCTTGATCCAATGGTGATTCATTTGAAGATTATTCAGTTTCCATGAATTTGTAGGGTTTCTGTGGTGTTGTTGAATTCTAACTTTAAGCCATGGTGATCTGATAAGATACAAGGGGTTACTCCTTTTTTTTTTTTTCTTTTGTTTTGTATCTGAGATTCACTTTGTGACTGAGTATGTGGTCACTTTTAGAGAAGGTTCCATGAGGTGCTGAGAAGAAGGTATATTCTTTTGTGTTTGGATAGAATGTTCTATATATGCCTGTTAAGCCTATTTGAGTCATAACATCTATTATTTCCCTTATTCTCTATTAAGTTTCTGTCTGGCAGACTTGTCCATCAGGGAGAGTGGGGTGTTGAAATCTCCACTATTTAATAGTGTGTGGGGCTTGATGTGCGATTTAACCTTCAGTAATGTTCCTTTTACAAATGAGGATGCCCTTGTATTTGGGGCATAAATATTCAGAATTGAGACTTTATCTTGATGGATTTTAGAGCCTTCATCCCGTAACTGATGGAAGCAAATGCAGAGATCCACAGCCAAACAGCAGGCCTAGCTCCAGGAGTCCAGTCAAAGAGAGGGAGAAGTGATTATGTGAGCAAGGGGCATCAAGATCATGAAGGGGAAATCTACAGAGACAACTGAACCAAGCTCCTGGGGCCTCAGGAACTCTAGGCTGACAGATGCCGAGCTTACATGGGACTGAACTAGGGAGACAATTGTGTAGCCTGGTCTATTTGAGGGGCCCCTGATAGTGAGATCAGGATCTATCCCCGGTGCATGAACTGGCTTTTTGGAGCCCATTCTCTATGGTACAATGCCTTGTTCAGCTTTGATGAGGGGAGAGGGGCTTGGTTCTCAAGTAAATGTACAAGGCTTGTTGACTCCCCATGGGAGGCTTTACCCTTCTGGAGAAGTGGGTGGACAGGTGGGTCGTGGGAAGGAAGAAGGAGGAGAATGGGAGGAGGGATGAGAGGGGGAACTGTGGTTGGTATGTAAAGTGAAAAAAATTTAAATAAATAAAAATAGAAAAAATTTCTTGAGTCAATTAAAATTAAAAAACCTAGCATTTACCTATCATTAGCTATGTAAATATTTAGATTTTCATGTATTCTCTCTCTTTATTTAGAAAAGAAGAACACTTTTCTATAGTAATTTTTGAAATAAATAAAATTAAGAGAATTTAGATCACACCATTAATGTCTGAAGCTGCAATAATAATTTGTCTGAGCTGGGCAGTGATGGCACATGCATTTTATCCCAGCACTCGGGAGGCAGAGCCAGGCAGATTTCTGTGAGTTTGAGGCCAGCCTGGTCTCCAAAGTGAGTTCCAGGAAAGTCGTAAAGCTACACAGAGAAACCCTGTCTCGAAAAACCAAAAAATATAAAATAAAATTTTAAAAAATTGTCTGTAGTGAAGTAAAACCAGAACAAGATTATATTTTGTCTTAAACAGTAATTTTCCTGGTCAGTAATTTATATTCAGATGCATGTATGATCTCCTTCTTAAAATCAGATTTTTGATTTAGAGCTGTGTCAATTATTGTACACACTAATATTTTAAACATTACTAGTCTTAAAACACAAGCAAATATGATCTGCAAATTTAGCAAATTTCTTTTTAACTTTTCCTAGAATTATTCTAGGTTTCTTTAAAGTCTGGACCAAGGATTTCATGAGGTTAAGAGTATTCGTCATTCTGAGTCTTCTTCACTTTGCCATTTGCATCTTTTACTTTACTAATAAGCTGATAGAACAGTTTTCATGTGCCTTTGCAACAACATTTCAAAACAAAAGTTTGATTTGAATAAAACTGTAGAGTCCCTATTCGTGTTGGTGAATTCTAGGGTATTTTAATAATATAAAAGCAATAAGACTGATGAAAGATAAAATGATGGGACAATACAATATTAAATGTCAACTGAACTTCTACATTATCCCATTTTAAATTTTTAAAAAGGCCAAGGCTGGCATCACAAGAACATCACAGTGTTTGAAAATAGCTTTGTAATTTATGACCTTGTGCAACATTGCTATCTGATAAATCTTTCTTAAAACAGAAGTATTTGTAGCTATTGTAAAGAAGGTGTATTGATGAATAATTTTGTCTATTCTGTAGACACATATGTCATTCAAAGTATATGTTTTGCTGAGTATCAGAAACAATATAACAAATTATTACATTTATTGTGCTTAATACTGTGAACTAAAACTTCAGTGTAATGGTCTTTCTGATCTTGCCTCCTTCTCCCTGTCTCTGGAAAGTTGATCTTGATTTTCCCTCAAACACAATTACAGTTTCCTCTCAAGTTCTCTTATTTGGCTGTGGAAATTCCTCCACATTGAATGCAATCATCTTGCCTGCAACCCCTATAGTCCCAATATACATAGAAGATGATAAATCACCGAGAACCAAATTGACAACATACCTGGTGCACACACCAACATTGTCTTACTTCATTGTTTGTTTTGCAGAGATTTCTCTCCTTTAGAAATAATTGACTCAGTCTAAAATTGTGTACATCCCCATTTCCATTTCCCTTATGAAATGTGCCTATAAGCTTTTAAACATCACTAGGATGCTAATGTGATTAACAATTTTGGATTTAGATTTCTGAACAACATTGGCATGTCAGAGAGTGTGAAGGCTTCTGAAATTTTAGTGGATACACTTTTCATAATGAGTTAGTCATGTATCTTTGGGCGGAGTGTTATGGCTTGAGTTGTAAATAGCCACTTTAGGCTCATGTTTTGAGTGCTTGTTGCATTTACCAATGCTACTTGTTAAGGAACTCATGGAGTCTTTGGAGGCTAATTGACATAAGTAGGCAAAAGAAGGACTCTGCAGGTTGGCTCATCACTCTTGGTCCCAGCTGTTGTCTCCTTCACTGTCCAACATGTTGTGGACAAGCTTTCCCTGGCATGTGTCTTCTTTGGCATGATTGCACTGACATAAAGTCATTAATACATTTTGGTTCCAATCAATATCCAGTGGTTATAATTGGTTATTTTCTTCTAAAATTCAACAAGCCATTTTGATGATACAGTCCTAATTCATTCAGATTTTATTCATATTGAAAACATTTGAGGACTATTTAGTATTTTATTAATGTTTTTTTGCGGAAATATACAATAATAGGATACATTTTATAAAGTGTTATAATGAAAACCTACTTTTCTTGTAGGAATTTGAAAGATGATGTTAAATGTTTGTCATGATAGTACTTCAAAGGTAGAATACTGAAGTCTACCCAGCATTATAGAGTGACTACAAGGCTCACCTGGATTACATTGCAAGACTATGTCTCATAAAACCAAACACTGAGGATAGAGCTCAGGGATAAATACCTTGTTTAACATATGCAAGCCCATGGTCCATTTTTCAACACCAAAACAGCAAAGCAAAATAAAACTCCTTAATAGGTAATTATAAAAGTTAGCAGAGAGAAGACTTCAGTATCAATTTTGCCTTTTGGATGATTTTTTTTTTCAAAAGTCACAGATGAAATTCAAATGGAACAACATTTATCATTGCTTAATACTTGGCAGTGATTGTGTCCATTCCTTTGTTGGACCTACATTTTCATAACTTCTTTGATAATAAAAGTTATATACCTCTGCTTCATTTTAAGATAGGATGAGGGTCTACTCATTCATATGACTTCACTGTCTTGTTTGAACAGTTATATCTACTACTATATGCTTATATATAAGCAAAAATACAAAAACAACAGTTTGTGAGTTATTTAGAAGTGATAGCAAAAAATAGTGCTAGTTTTAGTAAACAAATTCAAGTTAGACAAGTTTGTTTCAATTGTTCAAAATTGTTAATTTTAAAGATCTATAGTTGCAAAATTTTCTTCTATTCAATATAGTATTGCTAGTTTGGTTTCCTGTTACTGTGAAGAAACATCAAGGTCAAAAGCAACTTGGAATAGGAACAGGTTTAATTCAGTTATTTTGCTTACAAGTAACAGACCATCACTGAGGGAACTGAGGACCAGAGTTCAAAGAAGGAACTTAGAAGAAGAAACTGAACCAGAGATCATAGAGCAATGTTACTTATTCTGGCTTCTACTCAACAAACTTTCTTGCATACCTCAGGGCTGTTTGCCTAAGGATGGAGCCATTCAATAAACACAATTTTTCACAGATATGAGAATGGGCTAATCTGATATATGAGGTTCTTCATTTGAGTTTTCCTTTTCCCCATGCTTTGTGCTAAGTTGACAGTCAAAGCCAACAGCACAGGCCACTGCTTGTCACTTTGACACATAAACACACCACTGTTGAACCATATTTTTTCCTGTCTCAAATATTTTATGTTATATCAAACTATGAATCAAAGTATAATTTTTAGAAGTCCCAGGGTCTTTTAAAAAATTCCAACACTTTAAAAGTTAAATGTTTCTTTAAAAGTTAAAAGTCTCTTAAGTGTAGGTTTCTATAAAATCAAAACCAAGTTAAATACTTCTCATTCCCAAATGAAAGAATATTGGAATAGTAGCAATTTTATCAAAGCAAAGCCGAAGTTCCACAAATTAAATCCAAATTCTATAGTTCAGTGTCCAACATTTCAGAGTCACTCATGATCTTCTGTGCTCCAAACAGCTTCAGCAGCTCCAACTGTAGCACATGAGTTTTTGTAGTAGGTTTAGGCCTGTTCACACCCACTACTGTCCTTAGTGGAAGTCCTTGGTGCTTGCATTTCTGATATCCTGAGGTCTTCTTTGCAACAGAGCCTGTACCTTTACCAATGGGCTCTTCTGGCCTCTCTTCAGGATCATCTGATCCTCTAGTTCTCTATATTACCCGTTCAAACCTGGGCTTTCCAATGAAGCAGAATCTTCATCTTCACCAGTGGCCTTGCAGTACTTGTCTTCAGGGGCTCTATTATTGTGCCAAGGCTCTACTACTCTCTGTGACTCCTTTAATTTTGCAACTTTCATGCCTTCCAAACCAGTTCCAGGTGGAAGATTGTTGCACATGGGCAATTTTGATTTGTCTTCCACTGTCTGGACCACCACTTTTGTGTAGTGACCCTGAGAAAATAGTTCCCAGATTTTACCTCAATGATGCTGATCTCTTAATCACAGTTAACACTACACTTAGAGGATCACCATCTATTGGACCAGAAATGTAAAGAAGCTTTCACTACAGGGTTGAGGATTTATTATTAATCACAGCTAATTCCTCAGCCCCAAATCATCAACACACAAGATTCATAATTCAAAATATCACACAAATAACCCCTAACCTGTTTCCTATGTTCTTGTTCCTTCCCGGAACTTTATGAGATTAAGTAGTCACATGATTAAGGTGATGGGCGGCCAAAGCTTCATTAGCTTGGTTTCTATTGTCTGTGTCTTTACTTAAGCATCATCTTCCAAATTCCCTCATCAACTCATTATGCTCTGTATTTTCAACTCAAAGTACCAAATACTTCCACAATCCTTTCCCCAAGCAAAGGAAAATGGCCAAGTCCATTACAGCAACCCCATATTCATCTGGTATCATTTCTGCTTCCTTTTGTTTTCTTATTGCTGAGAAAAAGCACCACCACCTAAAGCCTTTAGGGGAGCAAAGTTTTGATGTTACTTACATTTCAAGGTTAGAATACATCATGAAATGGAGTCAGGACAGGACCTGAAGTAGGAACTGGAAGCAGAGTCTATGGAGGAACTGTTTCCTATCTCCCACTTCAGTGCATGTCCAGCTAGCTTGCCTAGGGATGTACAACCCAAAGCATTCTGTACCCTTCTATATCAGTTGGCAGTTGTTAAAATGCCCCACAAACATTGTCCACCAGTACATTAGACTGGGGGATATTCTTCAGTTGCCATGCTCTCACCCTAGGGAACTGTGGGTTGTGTCAATTTGTCAGTAAAAACTAACACAGATGCAGGTTGTATGTCTTCGGGTTTCTAATCCTGTGAAGAGACACCATGATGATAGCAACTCTTATAAAGAAAACACTTAGTTGGGGCTGGCTTACAGTTTACAACTTTATCCACATACAGCAGGAGGAAACTGTGCGCCACACTGGGCATAGTTTAAGCATGTAAGACTTCCAAGCCTGCCCACTTCCCACAGTGATATACTTCCTCCAACAAGTCCATACCTACTCTAACGATGCCACACCCTCTAATAGTGCCACTCCCCATAGGCCATGCATTCAGACACAGGAGTCTATGGGGGCCATACCTATTCAAATGATCACACTCTGTTATAACTATATTAATTATAGTCAACTTGCTGTATTAGTTCTTTATGCCCTTTGACAAATATGCTATTTCTTCCCCCATTTTCCCCCTTCAGCCCACACCTTTCCCTGTTCATCATCCCTTCTTTTTACTTATTTCTCATCCAAAAAATACTTCAAATACTATGACAGTGAAAATACTAAAAGATCCTAAAGTGGCCTATTGGTATCAAATCTTTCTATGTACACAGTAACCCACTACTCGAATGGACATCAGAACACATGCCACTTACCAGCATGATGATTTTTTTTTTTTATTTTACAGAAAAGCAAATGGAAAGAGGTAAGAATTCAAGTGAAATGGAGATTATTTAGTCAGAGTCCTAGGCTGAGTGTGATGATCAGCTGCTGGAAACTCACTGCCTCGTTTCTTTGCTGTGTCAATCCACGCATCTGTGGCAGCACAAAGATGCATCTCTGTGTTACACAAGCAGGTTTCATTTCGGCATCTGCTGCAGTTCATGCCTGCACAGCTTTCTCCAGGGTGTACACTCCAAGCTGCTAGCAAACAGAACCAGGCTGGAATGAGACACTTGAATTTTCTATCCAGAGAAGTAAACAGAACACAGCCTACAAGTTCTTCTTATTTTTTTTTTTAAAGCTCCATTTGAAAACACGGATGAAATTTAGCTGCCGAAGCATTGCTCAATCCCCCCACCATCTCGACGAGTTCATACTGTGTAAATATTGTGATCTTAATAAATAAATACTGAAGCACAGCTGGCGCCAGCAAGATATCGCTGTTAGGTTGCTGTGGCCCTGTTATCACCAGTGGGCAATGCTAATTATTCTCAGAACTGAGGCTCTGGCATACTAGGGGAAAGGAATGCAAAGGAAAGTCAACAGAGGTTGAAACAAAAATAAAACATTGTTTGTTTCAGTCCATTGCAAGGGCATTCCACCCTTGTGAAAACCAGAGATACACAGAGTACAGGTATGTGAGCTGCTTTTCTCTGTAAAAAAAAAATGATTTAACACTGTTTATTTCTGAGCTTGATTATATTCCAGTTCATTAAAATTTCTACCACTTGTTTGTCAGGGCAAGAGGAGGTAATTGGGGTGTTCAAAGGACAGTACTCTGAGACTGGAAATCTTAAATAAATGAGTTTACCAAGAGTAGGTTTTATTTTTTTCCTTCCTCCTTGCTTCCTCCTTTTCTGGGAGGTGTGTCAGTGACCTAGCTTTGCACATTATACACAAAAGAGGTTTATTGTATACAACTGTCTTGACTTGCAAAATCAGATGCTCTTTAGAGGGATTGTCAAGCAGAAAGAAGCTGCGTACGAATGACAACATTCCCTTCTGGAAAATGCCATGGTTAATTAATAATGGGTAGCCACGGGGTAGACCATGTGGCCACTGCATCCCTCTCTAGTAGAGCTGGCTCTTCACATTGTCGAAGCCTTTTAAATAATGATATTGGACTTTGAGCAGATAGATAAAGCAGAGAGAGTCTTGTTAAATGGCTTCTTCTTGCTTTGTGCTGTTAATGTTGAAAATCACTTTTTTTTTTTTTTTTTTTTTTTTTTTTGGTTTTTGGTTTTTGGTTTTTCAAGACGGGGTTTCTCTGTGTAGTTTTGGTGCCTGTCCTGGATCTCACTCTGTAGACCAGGCTGGCCTTGAACTCACAGAGATCCTCCTGCCTCTGCCTCCCGAGTGCTGGGATTAAAGGCGTGAGCCGCGTGAGCCACCACCACATGGTGAAGATCCCTTTCTTACACCATGCTCTCTGCATTCCAGTACTTCTCTGTAGAGAGAAGTTACTTACAAAAAGGAAAACTGCCATTAGCTCAAGATAGATTTTTCTAGAGTTCTCCCATTGTCTTCTCTCACATCAAGCCTTGCTTCCTCCTCATCATCAGCTGCTCCTCACACCTCTTCATTATTTAAAAAGGATTTTGGTTCTAAGGCAAAATGGATTACAGTTGGTTATTTTTATGCCTCTTTACAGAACATCTCTGTCCCTGAAAGTCTATTACAAGATGGTTGGAAATACCCTGCTGTTTTATTCAAGAAGCCCTCAGTGAAAGGAATTTGGAGGCTCTTTTATTGTGAGGAAGAAAAATGCTCAAAGCTTACTGAATCTGTCAGGAGATTTATAGCTGGCATTGGATGTATGGCAGAAAGGCACACTATTTCATAGTTCTTATCCTTGACTCTGTTACTCAATAGAAATCGGTCTTCATATTACTCCTCATACAAAATAAATACTTAAACCAGATAACCAGGTGCCTAGCTTATTTTTTTGCATTTGTTTTTGATTCATTCAATCCAAAGATTGTTGCTATAGTTTCCAACTGAAGTCACTAGATTAGTAAAGTGATACTCATTTCAATTAAACAAGAAAGAAAGCACATTCAGAAATAGAATCTTGCATGGTTTTCAGACATAAAAACCTTGGTTGCCAGAGGGACATTTAAAACAGAAAGGCCACTAACCTCATTCTGTTAACAAAATTATAATCACAGTGTGTGATGTTTTAGCTAGGCCAACAGTATTTGCTCATCTAATTTCAAGTAGACAAAACTATTGTCACTAAAGGTGAAGTCAAATCTTCCAAAGCCCCACCTTGCTCTTGGCTTGCTCTTCTTTGATATTCTCTTCCTTCACTTTGCTCTCCTCATTACATTCTTAGACTTGATTCCCTCTGAATTGTACTCTCTCTGATTCTTAACACATTTGCTTGCAGGATTAATTCAAGCAAATTAAATCACTGGCTTTTGAAGGAAGGCAATGAATCCACCCGAGTCACAGAGTCATTGTAGTGACTGGTATTTTATTTCATTTTTTGTCACCAAGTTTGGAAATGATTTAGATATATTCTAGTTCAAATGCTTCTTAACTCAACCATCATCTCCAAAATTGACCTGGTTTGTTTCTATGACCTGAAGGTTTCTGTTGTTCTACAAGAAAGAAATGCCATTACTTCCTAAAGGCTTCTCAAATTCATTATTTTGAGGTTTCCTCATGACAGTAAATCTTTGTTTATCTGTCTCCCCTCTTGGAGTCATTTTTTCTTGCCCTAGTACATGCCGTCAATATGAGGTTTTTTTATGACAATCATCTTTCAAATATTAGGAAATTGATTTGCTTCCACAAAACCCACTTTTTCCCCAGAAAGAAACAAACCTATATTCTCCTGTAATTCTAAATGTATTTAATATTCAAATCCCTGTTGCTCTAAGTCCAGGCCTTTTCCTATTTTCTGTTCCCATCTTGAAGTTTAGTCACCAAATTAAAAACAATTAAAATGAGCTGAGTATTTCTTTTGAATTCCTAGTGCCAAGTGTGCTTAGCATAAATGAGCAAACAAGTACTTGAAATGGTGATTGGATTCATAGAAATAAGAGTTCTGCCACCTACTCTTTTGGTTTGGCTGAACCTACTGGTTTAGCCTTATCAAAACCTTTCACATCTCTAGTTGTAGATTGCTCTGAGGCTTCCAAGTACAATCATACAATTAGCAAAATCATGGCGCTTTGCTCACAATAGTTGTGTGTGTGTTAAGTAGGCAGTAGTGATGACCATAGTGATAGCAGCATTCTTACCATTTGCTTTAGGTCTGATATTTTTAGTAAGGCCTCAGTATTCAACTAAGGACTTTCGTGTTTCTTTGTCTTTGGGGAACTTGTTACTTATAGCCTTATAAGGTCAGAGAGAGGATCTCTAAACACAGCACAAAGCACCCTTGGTGCCTCAATTCTTCTCATTCAAATACTGTCATAAGACAAATATATAAATATATATAATACATGTATATATGCACAATTACACATGTACACAAATATATCAAAGCACTTACTAAATAGTAGATTTAAACAGCTTAAGAAACATTATTTGGCGCTAAAAACCATAATGGATTAAAGGAACATAAATTTTGATTTTATTTTTAGGTAACTACAGCTACCTCTGAGAGGAATACAAACATTGGACACTTAGCAACATCTTAAAATTAGGGACTCACCATAACTTACTATTGGCAATTTTTGTTTGTGATTATATGTAAAATGTAAATTCCTGAAGTTATGCTATCATCAAAATTAATATTGAATGGAAAATATTTTAGAAGTAGAATCCCTATGTCTGTGTTTCAATTAAACAATGAAAATTTCACAGGAAATAACTGACAAATGGTTTCAGAACTACAGGCTTAGAGTTTACTAACATAACGGGGTGTTTGGTTATGTTTATTATGTTTACTTTGATTCATATTAAATGTACTTCATAGGATATATATATATATTAAAATCCACACCGTAGTAAAATTCTGTCATACAAAATTGTATGAATACTTCTACCAATTCAAATAGATATGGACCCGATTTCCCATAACAGCTGATAGGTTGCTGATATGTTTTTTAATAAATTACTTATGTTTAAACATCTATTTAAGCCCTGTCTCCTAGTTTATCACATGCTATTTACTCATGAACACCAAGAGATTTAGCTACAACATTAAATATGATGATTGGAGATGGGAAACATGTTATTCTTCATGAGATTTGAGTCTTTACACAGTGTTTCTCATTATCAACCAGATCAAAGACAACACATTTTCAAAGGTTGGAGGCTGACACACCATTTTCTCAGATAGTTTTAGGACATAGGATGTATAGAGTACTGATGCTTTGTCTTTATTTCTGTTCTCTTTGTTTCTATGACAATAGAAGCTGCAATGCAGAAGTGAGTCTCCTGGGATTTCCCTCGGGGATTCCTTGCATCCTTGTTAGGGGACAGGATTGCAGGCTGGGATTAGCCCCCAACTGTCAGGAGTGAAGTGTGTGCACATTTTACTTCTGAGACATGGGGAAGACTGCCTCGAGCCACTAAGTTTTGGGGGATGCTTCACAAATAAATACTATTCTAGGCACAATGAAGCATCTCCTTCCCAGGTCAGCCATCTCTTGTGACAATTCCCTAGCAATGTGACTTCCAGGATGAGAGGGTCTTGTTCTGCCGATTTTGTAGTCCATTGTAACTTTCCTCCATATGGCCCCTTCACTGAGGTTACAGCCCCCTAGAAGAGTTTCCAACAGAGTTCAGAATTACTCAGTGCTATCACTGGGCTTTACATGTTTAAATTATATTTCCATTGTTTAATTCATTTTTAATTAATTATGTTACTTCCCCTTTCCCTGTCCTCCCAAGTCCCCTGCCCACTTTCTAATAGCCCCTTTATTTATTTATTTATTTATTTATTTATTTATTTATTTATTTATTTATTTATTTATTTTCCTTTTGAGACCAAGGCTCTTGCTGTAGTCCAGGCTAAACTAGAACTGTGTATGCAAACCATCTTTAGTTTGATTTCAGGGAGATCATCTTGGCTCAGCCACCTTTATGCTGGTATTATAGATATGAGAGGCCATATCTGACTGAAAACTAGGTATTTAAAACAAAACAAACATTAGAACACCAGGTAGTCATTCCCAGGAGATAGAGAAGAATTATAGAAAAATAAGAAAAACTTATCATTTATAAATTGTGGAAATATTTTCTCAAAATGATACAAAACTCTTTGAATGTGTTTAGACTGAATTACTCTTCTGTTTCCTTTTTTAATAAACTTCATAAATTTCAAAGATGTTTCAGGGCTAGAGATGTAGCTTAGTGACTGTGTGCTTGCCTGGTGAGAACAAAGCCATGGGTTCATCTGGTACCACCAAAATTAAAACCCCAAGCAAATCAAAAGACCTAAATCTCCCCGTAAACAAATCAGAAGATTTTTTCTTTTATTTTAATATTCACTCCTTATTCTGTG